GTGGTGAATTATGGATTCTTGGCGATGTATTCATCGGTCATTACTATACCGTATTCGATGTTGGAAATTCTCAGATAGGCTTTGCACAGGCTCGTGATAGCAATGGTAAACCAATAGGTAAACGAGTTCATACGTTTGTATCACAGGAACAACGAACAGTAACAACTACCACATGAATCAATAATTATCGTCTCATTATAATTACGATTTAATCGAAATTTAAAACTTCAAATTCAGTTAAAATCAACAATCTTTTCATGCATTAATTATAAAATTTGTGACAAAATTTAGCTATTTTTTGATAAAAATTCACACAAATAAAGAAAAAGTTCAGATAAGAACAAGTAAATAATTATCCTTAATGATATAAGATCAACATGAAGAAGAGGGAAGAAATGACAAATGATAATAAACGATATTTATCAAACATTAAAATTACAACTAAATCGATTCATTCGTTTGAAAAAGTTTGTTTAAAACAGGAAAAGCAAAACAAAAAAGAAAATTTAAACAAATATATACCGAAAATGATTGATTTTTCATCCTTGTTTCAATGTTATTCAACATATTTTGTGAATAAATATAAAATGTTCCTTAATTTTTTTTTGCATTTGAAATATACGCATTTATCACTAATTGATAAGATAATGACTGAACAACAATTGCCAACAAAATTATCAACTAATGCATAAATTCATTGCATTATCAATTCATTTATCATTTGCCAAAATTAGCATAAAATTGTCAAAGTGTGCTAACAAATGTTAAAATTTATTTGCTTAATTAATCTATGCTTAAATGATAATTTGCAAGCATATAACTAAACAAGTATTTTGCATAATGGCCAAAAATGAACAGAGAAAAAGCATTTTCTGATATGAATTCATTTGCGCTTCATACTTAACTAGCATTGCAAATATTAAAAAATAACTAGAAAGGATAATTGATCAAACATTTTTTATTTAATAATTAAAGCAAACTAATTGATATCAGATTATCAACGGATACAGATTTAAATTAATAAGCTGAAATTATTACTAAATCATTTAAAACAATTGTCATTTACGTTTTTAATGTGTATTGATTCCTAGAAAAGTTACATCCCTGAAATGCTTACCTTTAGTAATAGTGAATTGCATACAAAATATTTCATCGCTACATATCATGGGTCATCTGCATATCATTTTCATTTTCTGTCCACTTTTTTTAAAATATGTTTGTGATCAATCAAACTCAAACAGATCAATGTAGTTCATGGCAAAATAAATGAAAATCACAGAGTTTTTCGGTGTTCCGAAGATTTCAAACACCTGGAATTAGCATTCATTCTCTTAATTTTTTTATTCGCACTTCAATTTTTGCTACTATATTCGACATTGTTTTCCTAAAAAATAGCGTCGTACAGGGAAGAAAAAATTCTATATTGTTTCATTAGGTTGTCACTAATCAGAATCAGACCTACTTTTTGATGAATCTGAATCCGAGATACTGATGAAGGAATTTGGCATTAAATTAAATGAAAGATATGTATTGATAATGATAATGGAAAACTTTATTCTCTCATTACTGAAAAAATAAATAAAACCGATACCAAATTTACATTTGTGGTAACAATCTCTAGAATTTTCTATGGATTTCTGCTTTTCTCTAAATAATTTCCTTACTCGTGAACATGATCTCCAGTAAGTCATCCAACAGTGATTTCAAGAATCAACGATCAACTACGGTAAAGTATATAGGCATAAAGTTCTCTACACGACATTTCATCGAGCACACCTATTCATGAAATTGACTAAATCATGCTGAACACCAATTGTAATTACAAATCTGTTTCAAAAGAAAGTACTCTATTCTACGTATTTTACGTATAGTACGTCATCAGTAAGTAAGTAATTTAGTAGTTCACTTCACTTTCGTGAATCTCCGAGAGATACTTCCTCTTGTAGAGTATCACTTTTTCAGTATTATCAAAGTAAATAAGTTCAATATGTTAAAGCCAGCAACATTACCAATGGAATCGTTACGCCAAAGCATCTAACAGTTACAGCAAGTCAATGGTACTGTAGAAATACTTGAAAATCCCGAAACAATCTAACCAACTAAAGTATTCTTCATTTTTCCTAACTCTTGACATTTACTCTTTCATTTGAGAGAACCTTTCCTGATCAAACTCACTAACTAACAATATAGTGATGCCAGTAAGAAAAAAAGTGGAAGATTAGAAGATGAGTAAGGTAAACAATATGGAATAATATTGGTGGGAGTTGTATTACTTCAAATGACAATAATGTTCTGTCACTTAATATTTCTTTTCTCATGTACGTATAGCTTGTCACGATGACATTATTT